ATATATATATATATATATATATATATATATATATATATATATATATATATATATATATATATATATATATATATATATATATATGTATTATATAGTAGAACACCATTTCAATCTCGGCAATAATTGGGCACTAGTAGCGAAACCACAGAAGGTACTAGACAATATAACCCAATATAATCACGTAGGTGTGTCTACATACATATATGTAGAGCGGATTAATACGGTAATAGAGGAATTAATACACGATATTAGTTAATATTGTAGTTAATTTAGAACTGTTATGGTCTATAATAGGGTGTCCTAACTTAATATTTGGTTTAGAGACCGGGCTGCACACACTCCATCAAAAACTAAAAGGTAATAAATAAATAAATAAATAAATAAATAAATAAATAAATAAATAAATAAATAAATAAATAAATAAATAAATAAATAAATAAATAATAAATAAATAAATAAATAAATAAATAAATAATGGTTCCCAGTTCGTTCTCAACAGTAATAATCGTATAAAACAATTGCCGAGGCCGGGGTATCTCCATTGCCATAACCCGAGAGTCAAAACGAGGCTATTATGTAAATGTTGTCGTCCATCGTCTGAGCTAGCTGCCTGGTTGTGTGTTCTCGACGACCGCTTATTCTTGCATTATTTTGTCATTTACGCTTTCTACAACACGGGTAAGTCATATAACAATAAAAACCGTGTTTGCTGACGTGATTGGATCAAAATATAATATAAAAAAATCCCGGCAGCGTTTCGATATTCATGCAAAATTCGTGCGACTGCACCAACGCCTACTCCGTCGCATGTGGTTATATGACGGGCAAGTTGCCACGCTTTTTCTTTCAACGAACCCTGATATTTCTTGCCCGAGTTGTGATGCCATGAAGTTTTGTGGCAAGTTATTTTAGGGCTGTTTACATTTGTTTACTTGTCACTTCTAATTTCTACGAAATTGTCATCTTATTGAATTACGGTCTGCGTTGTATAGCAGCCATCTTGGGTGACTCCCCAAGCTGTTCGATTTTTGTTTCGACCCCCCCCCCCCACCCCCCACCTGTTATGAATGTGTGGAGTACTAAACACTGAATTTATTGCACCAAATTTGCTTGGAACTGTTGATTTTATTTCAAGGTTACTATTGGTGATTTCTAAGATGGATTTATCATTTTCCAAAATGTGTCTCCAAATTTACTACTGGAAATTTACAAAAACATTTTCTGTGTTAATTTGTCTATAAACATGTCTTACCTGATTTGGCTGTGAATACACTTCTAAAATTGTATATACCCAACAGTCAATAAAAGGACACTATTTTCTTGTATCACACTATCCAAACAATCCCAAATTAATCATCTTTTACCCTTATTAGAGCAAAAAACCATGGTTTTATGATGTTCTTCATGGGATTTAGTTCTTTATGACTTCTTATTGACTTTTCTCCATCATGTATTTGCATGATTTGACCTGCTCTTGGAAATGAAAACTGTTTTGTGCTGTTAATAATTGTATAACAATCATGCTGCAAGTCGACAAAAATAAACTAAACAAAACTGATTGTAATGAGTTATAGAACAAAAACAACGACCTGTTATTCACGACAGTACTGTCGGCAAGCTTGATTGATTTGCTGTCATGCAAATACATGTAGTAGCTCTTTTTTAGTCCTCGTTCGGATGCAGTCTGTGCGTCTGTATCTTGGACATGCGGTGGGTTCCTGTTGCAAGTCATTTTAATTTTTCAGATCGGATTCAAAATGGCTGACTGGCGGCCATTTTGAAATCTCATCTGAAAATCGTATCTGAAAAAAACAAAATGAAGTGCGACTGCCATTCTGATCCTCAAAATTGCAAAATTTCTTGAAGATGAACAGGGCGACCTTATTCAGACTTTGAATCATGAGCATGCATATTGGGTTACAGGTGCACATCATATATTTTTTGAGATGGTGGCCATTTTCTTTTTATTCCTGTCACAGTTTAAAACAGTGTCCAGTAATACCATAGGTTGTGTGATTTGTGTTACTTAATCAACTTTGTCGCATCGATGGCAATTTCGTTTTAAGTCCTAAAATAGAAGTACCGGTAATGCATTCGGAATCATTTCTCACAGATTAACTTTGTATCAGGATTTTACATACTGGATTATAGATGCACATCATTTAAACAACTGTTTCTCAGAGATAGCTTGCATTATTAGTCCCCGTTCGGACGAAGTCCGAAAACGGGGACTTATAATTCGGTCTCCGTCCGTCCGTGTGTCCGTGTGTCCGTGTGTCCATGTGTCCATGTGTCCGTGTGTCCGTGTGTCCGTGTGTCCGTGTGTCCGTGTGTCCATGTGTCCATGTGTCCGTGTGTCCGTGTGTCCGTGTGTCTGTGTGTCCGTGTGTCCGTGTGTCTGTGTGTCTGTGTGTCCGTGCGTCTGTGCGTCTGTGCGTGCGTGCGTCCATGCGTCCGTCCGGAGTCATATCTCAGAATCCCTTGGACCGATTCCGTTCATTCTTTGCATGTGCCTAGTACTTTATGTGGGACATATGCACATGCAGTGATTTAGCGATTCGATTCAAAATGGCCGACTGGCAGCCATCTTGTTTTTTGAAAATGTTGTATTTTGGACATGCTTTGTCAGTTTTCATTCAAACTTGGTACATAGATTTTACATGTTAGGATACATGTCCATGATGATTTATTTCACAATTGGATCAAAGATGGCTGACTGGCAGCCATCTTGTTTTTTGAAAATGTCGTATTTTGGACATGCTTTATCAGTTTTCATTCAAATTTAGTACATAGATCATACATGTTAGGATACATGTCCCCGACCGTCCGTGAGTTCCTGAGGAAGTCCGTCCGAGTGTCCGTCTGTCCGTCCGTTTTACATGTTAGGATACATGTCCATGACGATATATTTCGCAATTGGATCAAAGATGGTCGACTGGCAGGCATCTTGTTTTTGTTTTTTTATGCGGTATCTTGGATGTGCTCTGTCAGTTTTCATTCAAATTTGGCACATACATGTACTTTATACATGTTAGGATGCATGTCCATGACAATTTGTTTCAAAATCTGGTCAAGGATGGCCGTTTGACAGCCATCTGACCTTTTGGCCTTACTACTATATTTCTACAATTTATGTACCATTTTCATTCGTATTTGGCACATACATCATACATATCTCTGCGTTTCATAATCAGATCAAAGATGGCTGAATAACGGCTGTTTTTATTTTGGCCATATTACTATGACACGAAACGCGTGTTTTCATGTAAATAAACAATCTGTTGTATACGCCACTTGGAACTCAAGTTTCAAGGACACGCTTGTGACAACCCCTCTGCTTTAATATGACAAGCACAAAGAGAACTTAACGGGGACTGTGTCATTTTCAATGACTTGTTTTGTTCAAAACTTAGTACATTCATTTTACAACTGGATTTTGGTTGCACATTTCAATTTTAGTGAATCAAATTAGTAATACTCAGCCAATTACAGTATCTTGGCGGCAATGACTGATACCGTCAAAGCTCTATTTAGTCAAATGTATACCTACACTACTGGATCACTGCATAATGATGGAATTTGGCATTAAGGATGCAGTAGAGGTTTTTGCTATTGCAATTGGATAGCACATTTCTGAAGTAACATATTCTTTGAATCCCATAAACTTATACATGTATATTTTTAGAAAGCTTATTTTTCAAATAATATGCAATAAATATTCCAACAAAAAATGGTACGTGTAATCGTGTGATCACTGTGCAAATAGAGAGATGTTATTTTCAAAGAAACCAAAATAAGGCCACAGAAATGATGCTTGCGGTACTTAGAGATACTATGAAAGGTTTGAATTCAAATTCCCAGTTCGTCTACTGTTGCGTGACCTAAATTTTGACACTATTTAAAAACATCAACGTTGTTTTAAAATATGATATATCATGCCACAGTCCACGAAGGGGAAAAGTTGTGTTGTATTTTCTAAAGTCAAATTAGTAGACAAATAATCTTTGCCAGATTTCATTAGCAGCTATCAGAGAATACCTATGCCACAAATCACCATCGTGGAGCAGTTTGGAGTCAAGATCAACTCTCTATACTAACCCCAAATACCGATGTTTACTTAAGCGTGAAAAATCACAAAAACATAAAACACACTGTCCTCAGATTTACTCAAAATGTATTACCCTCTTAAACCATACCTACTATTGTTATTTCTAGTTGAATGCATGCTTCATATATTCGTATAAGAGAATATGGGAAAAAAAGTAAATTTGATATTTTCAAAGAAAAAAACCTCTACTACGGTACATCCTACAGAATGGGAACTTATCACTGTTAATGCTTGTTTTTTTATTGTAAACTACAAATGTACTTATACATGTGTATCATGACATTTTTTTATGACAGTAACCATGGAACCTGAGAATGCTGAACAGTCTGGGATGGTTGCAGAGAGTCATCTTGAAGGAACTGAAGAAGTAAATACAGTGGAATCAAGTAATGCTGGTAGGCATTGAATCAATGAATTATTATTCTAGACTGGCTGAACAGTCAGGAGCTTTTCGATCAATCTTAACCTGTCAAAATTAAGTTACTGTACTATTACTGCAATGTTGATCCCTGTTCATAGCCGAAGTCTGAAAACTTGGGACTTGTATTGTTCACTGTGTACATGTATGTGTTCATCAGGTCACCACACCTGTAACTTGGACATGCTTGAATCAATCAAATTCAAACTTCACACTTTCTATACATCATGGGGGATACATTGTACCGATGTATTTTTTTTTATGATCTGAATGGCTAAAGGGCTAAAAGGTAGATATTTTATTGCCAACAAATCATCCAGAGCAAACTTTTCTACCTTGCCTTGATATTTGAGGTGTACATTATTATTTTTGTGAAAAAATTGTTTGATGAATTTAAGTTGACATGTTCTCAACAGCCAGAACCAAACAGCTTTTTTGTGGGTTAGCTACCACAATGTTCTTGAAGGACAGCAGAGCTTTTTCAACGGTTAGTTTGCTTGTTTTAAAAAAACTTGTAATTATTCATTTTGAAATGTAAACTGAATATGGAATGTGATATTTACGGATGATATTCACTTTAGTTAAAAGGTACTTGTGGAAGCACAGTTTACCTTGGTAGACTCAATATGTTCACGACGGTGTTTTATATGAATTCAAATTACCATTATTTGGAAAAGTCGAACAATGATCAAAGACCAGGTTTTATGAATATACAGTCAAATTTGGGTCATTTTAGAGAAGATTGCGCTTAGCCGAACATGACCCAGAAAATAGAAATGTCCCAAATGTGGGGGTGGACCCTAAGCCAAGCATGACACTAAGTCAAACGAGTACAGTATATGGATAACTAACAGACTACTTAGCAAATAAGGCATGATTATGTTTTGTGATTATTGTAACGGAATCTATAGTTATAATGTTTCGTCTGATGTTTTAGCTCCTTTTTCCTTCATTTGAAAAAACTTCAAATGTAAGTTGTATCAATAGAAATGATAACAAAGTGAGTTGGCAGCATTACTTTTTAGTCCCCGTTCGGATGTAGTTCGAAAATGGGGACTTATGGATTGACCTCTGTGCATCTGTCTGTCCATGTGTTCGTGTGACTGGCAGTCATTTTGTTAAATTAATGATTTTGGTTCTAGTGCCATATCTTTGACGTGATTTGTCTGATTATGTTCAAATTTTAAATATTCCACAATGGTATATAATATTTTAATATTTAAAATTTGAACATATATTGGTTTGACAATTCTATTTAAAATAGTCAAATGGTGGCCATTTTTGTGCTAAAAAAATCATCAAAAATCAAGCATTTCTGGAACTGGATCTCGGTCATGTATCGATGGAATTCGTTGGTACGTTATACATGTACATGTACATGTACATACATCAGACAATATGGGTTCCTGATGCACATCATTTTGTTTTTCAGATCGGATTAAAAATGACGGACTGGCACCATTTTGTTTTAATGAATGTGATTCTAGTGCCATATCTTCGACATGGTGGCCATATTTGTACTGAATAATCATCAAAATCGAGCATTTCTCGGCTACAGATGGATTTTGTTCAAACTTAGTATATACATTGGACATTATGGGACCTTGGTGCACAACATTTTGTTTTTCAGATAAGATTCAAAATGGCCGACTGACGCCCATTTTGTTTTAATGAATGTGGTTCTAGCGCCATATCTGACTTGCTTTGACTGATTATGTTCAAATTTTACATATTCATTATACATCATGTTATAGATGTATATAAATGTATTCAAAATGGCTGATTTTGTTTTAATTAATGCTGTTCCAGAGCAATATCTCTCTATATGGACTCGTTTGACGATCAGATACAAATGTCAATCATTTTAATGTTAAACAATCATCATAATCATATTCCTGACATGGTTATATTCCAGCTATATTACTATAAACAAAACTATATATCTCAAATTCGATAACTAACAGGGAGTGTGTCATGCATGGTTTGTCTTTTTCAGATCGAATTCAAAATGGCTGTCTGGTGGTCATTTTGTTTTAATGAATGTGGTTCTAGAGCTGTATATCGTGCTTTGACTGATTATGTTGAAATTTTATATATTCATTATACGTCATAAATATAAAGATGTATTTAAAATGGCTGACTGGTCGCCATTTTGTTTTAATTATTGCGGTTCCAGAGCAATATTTCTCAATATGGATGTTTGATGATCAGATACAATGTCAAACATTTTAATGTTAAAAAATCATCATAATCATAATCAGCTACTGGATTCATAGCTCTGACATGTTTATGTTCAAACTATATTACTACATGTATAAAAAAAACTATAAATCTTAAAATTTAATAACTAACAGGGACTGGTTCATGCATGGCTTGTTTGTTTTTTTATTTACATGTATATTATGAATGAAGAATTTCAGTGGTTTACTTAGTTCTTTGAGGAATATGGACTTAGTGGATTTAAACTAACTTTTGAATACAAACTAGTGTTAGTAAATGGATTTTAATGGTACATGAACAAGTAACTTGCTTACATAATAAAATGTTGGTATCTTTATACTATAGACTCTTGTGGTGCAACTCCCAAAGAAAAAGACGTTGCCTCATCTAATGAGAAAGATGAAACTAAAGATGGTTTAGATGGTAGGTGCAGTTTATACATGTAGTAGTGTTCATGCACAGCTCTTTAGCATGGGCTAAGAAGTCAAATGTTAAGAAAATGTGCATGAAATCGTAGCATGTGTTAGGAAATGCTAAGTCTGGATTAAATCTAGCCAGTTTTTAAGCACTACCTATTAAAGTGTGCGTCATTGTATAACCAGGGCTGGGTGGCCAAAACGCTATGGTATTTAATGTCCGTAAGGAAGACTTACTATTAAATTCACGACTATTTATTTTGGTATGCCATTCTCGACATGACAATCAAGGGGAACTCGTGTAAATTGTTCTCAAGAAAAAATGAACGGACAATGAGAATCTGTGCTACTGCTATCTGCACTGTCTGAATTTGCTTGTGTATTGTTTTGTAACCGTAGAACTAACAAGTATACCTTCCTAGTTACTGTACTGAGTAATCATAGTTAATATGAGATTTTTAGCTCCGCTGTCGACTTTGTCGAGCGGAGCTTATCATATGAGTGATTGTCCGTCGTCGTCGTCCTCCGTCGTCGTCGTTGTCCGTCGTCGTCGTTGTCCGTGTCAATGTTTTACTTTTTCGACTTCTTCTTGAAAACTACAAGCCTGGATGCTTTGATACTGGGTGTATATGTACCTTGGGTAGACCTCTCTTAGGTTTGTTCATTTCATGTTGATATCTTCAATTCTCTAATTTTGGTGAATATTTTTGTCATTTTTGGTAAAAAGTGATATTTTCGACTTCTTGTTAAAAACCGCAAGTGCAATTGCTTTGATATTACATATATAGGTACTACATGTGGACCTCTCTCAGATTTGTTCATTTTGTAATGATATCTTTAATTCTCTAATTTTGGTGAATATTTTTGTCATTTTTGGTAAAAAGTGATATTTTCGACTTCTTGTTAAAAACCGCCAGTGCAATTGCTTTGATATTACATATATAGGTACTACATGTGGACCTCTCTCAGATTTGTTCATTTTGTAATGATATCTTTAATTCTCTAATTTTGGTGAATATTTTTGTCATTTTTGGTAAAAAGTGATATTTTCGACTTCTTGTTAAAAACCGCAAGTGCAATTGCTTTGATATTACATATATAGGTACTACATGTGGACCTCTCTCAGATTTGTTCATTTTGTTGATATCTTATTCTCTAATTTTGGAATATTTTTGTCAATTTTTGGTAAAAAGTGATATTTTCGACTTCTTGTTAAAAACCAATAGTCAAATTGCTTTGATACTACATATATAGGTACTACATGTGGACCTCTCTCAGATTTGTTCATTTTGTGATGATATCTTCAATTCTCTAATTTTGGTGAATATTTTTTTAATTTTTGGTAAAAAGTGATATTTTCGACTTCTTGTTAAAAACCACAAGTCCGATTGCTTTGATATTACATATATAGGTACTACATGTGGACCTCTCTCAGATTTGTTCATTTTGTGATGATGTCTTCAGTTCTCTAATTTTCGTGAATATTTTTGTAATTTTTGGTAAAAAGTGATATTTTCGACTTCTTGTTAAAAACCAATAGTTCAATTGCTTTGATATTACATATTTAGATACTACATGTAGACCTTTCTCAGATTTGTTCATTTCGTGATGATATCTTGGATTCTATAATTTTGGTGAATATTTTTGTCATATTTGGTAAAAAGTGATATTTTCGACTTCTTGTTAAAAACCAAAAGTTCAATTGCTTTGATATTACATATATAGATACTACATGTAGATCTTTCTCAGATTTGTTCATTTCGTGATGATATCTTCAATTCTCTAATTTTGGTGAATATTTTAGTCATTTTTGGTAGAAAGTGATATTTTCGACTTCTTGTTAAAAACTGTAAGTCCGATTGCTTTGATACTATACATATTGTTCATTTTCTGATGATGTCTTCAGTTCTTTAATTGAAATGTGCATTTCTAACAGCGGAGCTATCTCAGCCGATAGGCTGCTTGTTGTATATACTCAACAAGATTGGGCATTTCTTAGCCTGTGCTAGGCACTGTTCTCTCACAGACGTAAGCAAAAGATTAGCTTGATTGTTATACTGTATACTGTGTAGCAAGAACACTACTTGTATTTGATTGTAGTATACAAATTGATGACTTTACAATGGGGGACGTTTTGCTCTTTTATTGTTAAACCATAATCACCATACATTCACCCTTTATATTTTATCTCTACTGTCGTCCATAACGATAACTGCAATGCAGTTTTATCCTTTCTAAAATAACACTAGATATTTTGGCACTGAAACACCTGCCAGTGGGGTATTTTTCAAACATCAGTTTGTGAGAAAATGTAGCCACACTGACCTATGATGGATGTTGCAAAATGGCATTTGACACATACTGAAAATTTATGGTATTTATTTAGTACTGGTATGCCTTTTTCTTCTAAAACTCATCCATGGCAGGTCCTCATGACACTCCAGCACTTCAATTTTGAACTAAATTACATTGTTTTATTTCTTTTATAGAAATTGCATCTCAGAGTTCCTCTGAAGAATCCCCTGCCAATGAGAATGGTAAAAAAGAGTCTGAACAACAAAAAGCCAATTCCAAGTCGGAAAGACGACGTAGGAACAGGCAAGAAATTCAGGTGGTGCATACATGTGATGTTTGCAATGACAACACTTTCCCTAGTTTGGCAGCTCTGGGGAATCACATGAAAACTGAGCATGGAAAATCCCTAGATGTTGAATATTCCTGTAAATTTTGCAAGCAGACGTATCGCAGAAGGCGTCCTTTTGTTGTCCACTGCAAAGAGATGCACAAGAAGGAGATTCATGCTTGCAGACATTGCACACAGTCGTTCAACATGCAGAATGCACTGGATATGCATTGTGAAGAGGAACACATGCCGTTTCCACGTAAATGCACTCAGTGCAATGAAATGCTAGTTGACAAGGGTGTACTAAAATCTCATTTCACAAAGAATCATCCACATGAGTGTAACCGTTGTACCAAATGGTTCACCCAGAAAAGTGAATTGGAAGAGCATCGCAAAAAAGAACATCCAGCTACGATACCATGTACGATTTGTAATCACACATTTGTGACTAAGTCAGCCTTGGAAGAGCACTGCAAAGACCACCACAAAAAAAAGCTTGGTTGTAACAGATGTTCTAGAGTGTTTACCAGTAAAGATTCACTTGAACGACACACCAAAGCTGTTCACACTCCTCTCCCAAAGTGCCTTTCTTGTGGGTCGATTTTCAGTAATCAAGATATGCTGCGGCAACACTATGCCAGCAGACACCGGGGTCAGGCTGCTGGTTACACTTCTCCAATGCAAGTTTCTCGTGGGCATTACTCAGATAAATATTCAATGCATGTACGACGTGCAGCTGGCCAACCTCTTCTACCAGATCCTGTGTATTACCAATCACAGTTTCAGGACAACGAATCTATGCAGAAAAACATGATGATGGTTCCAGGAACCCGTACTTGCATCCATTGTGGACTCTCATTCATCAATGAGGCATCATTGGATCAGCATTGCAGAGATGAACACTCTGTTTTACCTTCTTCTGGTGTTGGACCTACTTATTGCTTGTACTGTGGTCAATTGTTTGGTAGCCAAGTCGGCCTACACAAGCACTACAGTGTAAAACATGGTACTACTCCACCTATATCACATGCTTCAACTGGTCATGATTATGATGGTAGGCAACAACGATTGGATTCAATGCAGTACACCCGACCACAGAGTGCTTCTGCTGCTACTGGTTCTACTGGTTCTACTATGACTAGAGTTGGTCCAGCTTCTTGTTCGTTCTGTGGACAGATGTTTGCAAGCCAGGTTGGACTCCAAAAGCATTGCAGAGCAAAACATGGCGATTTTGTGCGTGCGGCTGAGATGAATGAAACCTATACTTGGCAGAAAGGAATGCAACAGCGATCTCTACCATGTGTATTCTGTAGACAAAATTTTATGCAGCCACAAGCACTTGAACATCATTACAGAAATCAGCATCAAGTACCATATGTTTATACCTGTAATGACTGTTGTGCTCCCTTCACTACACCAGGTGCACTGATCCAGCACACTGAGGGGCACATTATTGCAGCCAGATCAACAGCACCCTCTTTGCTTAACCTGCCTCTATCCCAGAATCCTGGTTGGAATCAACTCGGTGCACAAGCTGGTTTCACCATGGTCAACCAGGGATTCGGTTATAATAGTAGGAACATACGGAAACGACGACAAGAAGAAGGTGGTGCAAAACCCTCTTCTTGCCCAGTGTGTCAACTGACGTTCATGAGCAGGGGTGCCATGCAAAACCATTTGAAAGATTCTCATGACAAGCAAGCACACTTAGTTTGTATTCCGTGTGGCCGGTTGTTCAAAGATCGTAATGAACTTGACAAGCATTACACATCAAAGCATTCAATTGAAGAACATTTTGCCAAAAAAAAAGGTTTGAAAAAACAGGAGGTGCAAGGGCGCAGTGGCAAGACTAGCAAGAAAAAGCAGGAAACTATGCCTCAAAAACAGGATAAGAAGTTCGAAGCAAGGATGGATTTGAAATGTCGTGATTGTAGTAAAGCGTTCTCAACCATGGAAGTTCTCAAACAGCACATCAAGACTAAATGTGAGACCAACAAAGAAACTATAATCTGTTGTCAGTGTCGAAGGCCATTCAAAAGCTGTGTTGATCTAGAACGCCATGTCATTCACAAGCATATGACCAAGTTTCAATGTAGTGAATGTAACAAGTCCTTCATCACTAAAGAGTACTTAGAACAGCACAATAACAACAAACATATGACCGAATACCCTTGCAATGAGTGTGTGAAAGTATTTAAAAATCGACAAGGTTTGAAAACCCATTCTAGAAATGCTCACAATATATCAACTAAGGATCTTGTAAGTGTTGTCAGACACAAGACTGCAAAACCAGATGAACCAAAGGAACAGGAATCAGAAGGTACTTGTAAATTACTGTACATTGTCTTTAGCAATAAACCTGTCTTGATCTGAAGCCACCATATCAATATGACCATACTTTGACCACATTTAGTAAGTAATGTGCATAGATTTATTTTTTTAAACCAGCTCAAGTTTACAATTTAAAGGGCCAAGCTTGTTTTTGTTTTTTAATCCAAGTTGTACAATGTACTGATACCAAAGAGAAGAAAAAACAAAAAAAGCTCTACTACTAAACCAACTTGAAACCTCAAAAGAAAACCCTTCTGAATTCTGGAAAACATTGCATGAAATGAATAATGAAGAATCGCACAACGAGTGTAACAACAATATAAAACCAGTTGAATGGCTTTCATATTTAAAAAAATTATTTAATGCAAATTCCACATCCCACCACAGTGATGATTTAACTACTGAATTAAAGAACAAAGAAGAACACATGGTTCTTAATTCTGACTTGAACGGTCCAATTCTAAAAGATGAAATTTTAAAAGGGATTAACCTATTGAAAAATAATAAAGCTTCGAGTCAAGATAAAATTTGCAATGAAATGCTAAAACACAGCCAAGCCAACTTACTGAAAGCCATACATAAGCTTTTTAATAT